CCTTTGGCTAAAAAATCTTCTAGGGGAGCTTGGAGTTGTTGTTCATAATCCTATGTCTCTTTACTGTGACAACAAGGCAGCCATAAACATCGCCAGCAACCCTGTCCTACATGAGAGGACCAAGCACATTGAGGTGGACAAACACTACATAAGGGAAAAATTGGAAAAAAGGGAAATTTGAATCCCTTACGTCAACTCCAAGGAACAACTTGCTAATGTCCTCACAAAAGGACTTCCATACTCGTGGCACAATGAGTTATGTGACAAGCTGGGCATGATAAACATATTCAGCCCAACTTAAGGGGGAGTGTTGTGAGGAATATTTAATTGTTATTTTACAGTTGCCGTTAGTCAGCTGTCAGCCAGTTAGTTTCTTTCTTTCTTATTAGCTTGTTACTAGGGAGTGCCACTAGGGGCATACTTGTAATCTCCTATTCCTTTATACTAAGTTAATATAAATAACTAAATTGGCGGCCGCCAGAAAGGTTTTTTGTGTCTCTCAATCACATCTTCCTCTTCTCCTCTTTCCTCTCTTCTCTTCTCTTCTCTTCTCTTCTCTTCTCTTCTCTTCTCTTCTCTTCTCTTCTCTTCTCTTCTCTTCTCTTCTCTTCTCTTCTCTTCTCTTCTCTTCTCTTCTCTTCTCTTCTCTTCTCTTCTCTTCTCTTCTCTTCTCTTCTCTTCTCTTCTCTTCTCTTCTCTTCTCTTCTCTTCTCTTCTCTTCTCTTCTCTTCTCTTCTCTTCTCTTCTCTTCTCTTCTCTTCTCTTCTCTTCTCTTCTCTTCTCTTCTCTTCTCTTCTCTTCTCTTCTCTTCTCTTCTCTTCTCTTCTCTTCTCTTCTCTTCTCTTCTCTTCTCTTCTCTTCTCTTCTCTTCTCTTCTCTTCTCTTCTCTTCTCTTCTCTTCTCTTCTCTTCTCTTCTCTTCTCTTCTCTTCTCTTCTCTTCTCTTCTCTTCTCTTCTCTTCTCTTCTCTTCTCTTCTCTTCTCTTCTCTTCTCTTCTCTTCTCTTCTCTTCTCTTCTCTTCTCTTCTCTTCTCTTCTCTTCTCTTCTCTTCTCTTCTCTTCTCTTCTCTTCTCTTCTCTTCTCTTCTCTTCTCTTCTCTTCTCTTCTCTTCTCTTCTCTTCTCTTCTCTTCTCTTCTCTTCTCTTCTCTTCTCTTCTCTTCTCTTCTCTTCTCTTCTCTTCTCTTCTCTTCTCTTCTCTTCTCTTCTCTTCTCTTCTCTTCTTTTCTCTTTCTCTCTCTCATCTCTCTCTATCCATGAATGATTACAGCTTGTTTGTTGAAATCCCTAGACATCTTGGCTTTTTTTTTCAATTGATGACATAATAAGAAGTGGGCAAACATTGCAATTTCTTCTACAACAAGAAACTTGGTTAATTGGTTCAAGGACATTATCACCGCCTCCTCCCAATTATACTAAACTAAGATCATATGGGTGTCACATGGGAAACCCTGGGGTCTCAAGCAGCCATTAGGACTTAGGAGAGTCTCTAGAAATTGCAATAGACACATATTAGCCTTATATCTAGGACCAATTTATGTCGGTGACTCAACAAGGACTGAACTACTAGCATCGCTCCAAGGATTGTAGTCGGGAAGATATCTAAATTACTACAACTTGTTGATAGAAGGTGACTCAAGGTTAGTTTTAGGATGGTTCCCAAACAACAACTTGGGGCCTTGGAAGTAGACATGCATCATAAGAGAAAATACCTGACTGGACAAGGAAAAAAAACATCTTGTAGTAAGAATGATTGGTGCAATCATCAATGAGCTTAACATATTAATTACTTTGTAATCGGTAGATCAAAGTTCAAAAGGTATCTTAATAAGTTGTTAGTCGCATTTAGCTATTATTAGCTGTGGCACAAAGAAGGTTATTTCAGACCGACAACTAACAAAACTAACCACAGCTTATTTATACCAGTTGCAGATACTAAAAACCTACAACACATAAATTCCTTTCCTTTTAATTTTGTCTTTTTCATTCATAAAAAGCAAAAGAGTATATTATAAAAAAAAAAAAAAAAAACTGGAGGAAAATATACTAAAGCCTTAAAAGCTGTCTTGGCCATTATCAAATTATAATTGGCATCTCCATGTGAGGCCTAAAAGGTAAATCAAAGTCTAAAATTATCACATTGTTCACTATGCTGACAAGCCACAGGGTCTCAGTTCTGATGTGCTCATAACCAATGAAATGGCAACTATGATTCTCTTTTGATATGAAATTACATAATGTCCCTTGAAGCCATCATAACAGGATATTTGTCTGAGGTTTTTTCTTGAAGACAATTTTTAGTCTTTAAGAAAGTTAAAGTTTCAAACCACTAACATGTATAATATCACATTTAGTTAAACTGCAAACAAAGAACATAGAGTTGTAAAACAAGGCAAACCCAGCCAGTTTAGCAGGGTGGTCCAAGCTGGCCAGACAAGTAGAGTGACCAGGATCAAACTGGTTATGCCAGTTGATCTAAAAGTAATTAACATATATAGTTCCAATCAAGCAGATTAACCCTCCAAGATGACAAAATTGAGCAGTTCTGCAATTTAAATCCATTTAGTGTATATTGCGATGGTGATCAGTTTGCTGAGTCTGAAGGCCTACTTCCTAGATCATCCAGTCTAATTGGCTCACCAGGCTTGGGTTTTGAAATATTGTAGCATGTTGTCCTTATGTTCTTGTAACAGTTTGGACCCAAATAAATGGTACAAAAAAAAAAGACTAAAGAAACCATGATCTTCCAATGGAACAAGTAATGCTGACATCAGATATCATCTCAAAGACAATTAATGGATTAATTAGACATGCATGATTAGAATGGATAAGTTACAATTAATTCTAGCAAAATAGTCAGCTTCAACAGTTGTATTTTTGTCTTCTTGAACTCCATAATACACAAAATAGAGAAAAGAAAAAAGAATTTATAATAAAGCTCACTTAATATCAAAAACCATTAAATGTAACACTTTCTTAAAATGCTAACAAGTCTTTGCCCATAATTATAGAGATGAAATACTTAACATGACATTTTCATTCAACAATACTGCTACAATCAGCTAGAAATGGAATTTCAAAGCTAGAAACCACAATGATAGCGGTAAAAAACCTCACAAACTACATAGAGACAAATGGGAAGGAATGCAAGAAAAACAGATGCAATGAAGATAGAGAAGGGATATCTATGCAAATGCAAGCTCTAAGGTATCCAACCCCATGCAGAACCACTAAAAAAATCTCAGAAGTATCTATAGTTTTAATACCTCTTGAAGAGCTACCAATGCTTCAGCCGTCCAACGAGTTACTTGGGGGGAATAGAAGTTACTAATCTCCTTCACCTAAAACAACAAAAATTATCATTGGCACCAAATAGTACACAACTTAGTACCACCAAGTGTAAATGCATGAAAAGTCATGTCATACTAGAAAGCAGAATATTACAAAAAAGTACACCTAGAACAAACTTAAATTTGTAACAATACCACTATATGTACTTCAAAATATATTTATGGACATAGATAAAAAAAAAGTAAAATTTTACCACAAGAAAATCAAACAGAAAAAAAAAAAAAAAAAAAAACTACCTTAAAAATTATTTTGCATTTCATTAGGAGCATATGAAACTTACACCTCAATACATCATGTGCCATTGTTCACCTAACATTAGTAGCCTCGTATATTGATCAAAGATTGGATTCGCCAGAGCACTAGAAATTTAAAAGTCAATTTCTTTCCCTTCTTTCATATTAATATAAGACTTAAAAGACCATTTTTTACATACATGCTTATAAGATTTTATAACCTTTTGAAAATTCTATTCTACCGCGTTTATGGACCTTGGAGATGTTTTTTAATGGCAAGGAATGTGATGAAAACATGGGGATTTTTTCAAAGCCACACTACAATGTATGGCAAATACAATTGTACAAATGCAATGATAAAGGGGGAGAAATCCCGAAATTATATAATTCTGTCCGAGCATTTGTTTATGGGGATATAAAAAAGTTAAAGAAAAAGAAGGAATCATGAAAATCAAATTATATTATGAGCCATTGCTTGGTGCAATGATGAAACCTTAAGCTGACAAGCATGAGAAAGCATATTCAAGTCTGAGTGCAACGACTTTCTGCAATGGGTAATATTTCTTTCTTTATGAATGATCAACTCCTATTTATGTGTTCAAACATGGATTTCCCTAGTTTTTTTGCCCTTGCATCAGCCCAAGATGCAATCAATCAAGTATTTCTATGTGTGATTAATGGTCAGATGCTAAAGAATCCTTTACTCTGATGGTATATACACAATTTGGAAGTGAATATGTTGGTATCTTTATCATTCCATCATCCATGTAGGAGAGGATTACAGGTTACAAAAGCTAACAGCCATGGATTTTTTTTATGTGTGTATGTGAAATTCTTCTATAGTTATTTGCTTGGTCCAGATGCAGTGTTTTAAAAGCGCAAGGGCCAATTTGAGCCTGAGGCGCAAGACGCAAGGCGAGGCGCATGCCTTTTTAAGCAAGGCACAAAATTACAAAAAAAAAAAGCTAAAAAGTCAAAAAAAATCAGGAAATTCAAAAAAATGCCAAAAAAAATTTAAAAAAATACAAAAATTCAAAAAATATTAAACATAATGTTAAAAAAAATACAAACTTAAATTTTAAAATAAATGTTTTAAAAAACCTATTATCTAAAATTAAAATACATAAACATAACATGTAAAGCGTATTCAAATGAAAATTTATAAATAAAAGCAAACATATAAAGCATTTTCAAGCATGTAAAACTCACAATCTCTTTTTCTCCTTAATTGCATAGCTTCAAGTAGCTAATGTGATGTAAAACATATTTCATTCTTGATTCTATGAGTCGCCTTTATACCACGCCCCTTGAGGCAAGCCCGAACAAGTCTATGTTAGGATCTGAAATTCTTATTTCTCACATTCACCAAGATCATGGGCCAGTCATTCCACTACCACTCCTGGAAGTTCATGATACACCAAAAGCATCAAATCAATAGGCCCCCACTTCCTCTGTTCTTGACTCCACTCGCCAACAGTCCAACATTGGAATCGATACAGGTATGCCCATCATCCAACACAGTCATGAACTGAATCAGCCCACATCCATTGACCTTACACAACCAAGCCCATCTCGGCCCGCCCGCACCCACAAGCCTCCATCTCACTTGGCTGATTATGACTGTCCTACATTATCTAATTCCCAAACCAGGTATCCCATTTCTCATCACCTCACTCAAGCCCATTCAGCTAAAACTAACATTCCCATTGAGCCCACTTCATTTGTTCAAGCCAATAAACATCAATGCAGGCAACAAGCCATGACAACTGAACTTTCAGCTCTTGAAGCAACCAACACATGGACTCTTACATATCTCCCTCCAGGAAAACACCCAATAGGCTGCAAATGGGTGTATAAGACAAAGCTCAACCTAGACGGTTCCATTGAAAGGATTAAAGCTTAGCTTGCTGCCAAAGGCTACACTCAATTGGAATGAATTGATTACAATGAAATATATGCCCACGTTGCCAAACTCGACACAGTGCGATGCCTACTTGCTCTTGCTGCAGCTCAAAATTAGGAGCTTCACCAAATGGATGTTAACAATGCTTTCTTGCATAGTGCCTTGCAAGAAGAAGTCTACATGCTTATGTTGATGACCTTATCATTGCTGGCAATGATACAAGCAGTGTTTCAGCTCTCAAAGATTATCTCAGCTTTTGTTTTCCCATAAAGGACCTCAAGCACCTATATATTTCCTCGGCATTGAAATTTCTAGGATATCAGCTGGGATATTTCTTTGTCATTGACGCTGATATTTCCTCTTGTAGCCCACCCAGATCAGTACAGAAGAATTGTAGGTCAGCTGGTTTATCTTACCATCACCAGGCCCGAATTGACATACTCGGTACATGTTTTAAGCCAATTTATGAGCAATCTTTGTCAATCTCACTTAGATGCAGTCATGCATGTCCTTCGCTGCCTTAAAGCATCTCCAAAACAAGGCACCTTACTCTCTTTCAAATGTGATTTGGTCTTAAAAGCCTACTGTGACTCATATTGGGCTAGATGCCCCACTAGCTGGCGTTCCACCACAGGATATTTCACTACTGTGGGCACTCTCCTCTCTCTTGGAAAACCAAGAAACAAGCCACAGTGGCTTGTTCATCAACTGAAGCAGAATTTCAATCTATGGCTACAGCCAGAAGTAAACTTATATGGTTGAAGAAACTTTTCTCAAGACTTGGGCCTTCAACATTCTGAACCCATACAACTCTTTTGTGATAATAAAATTGCTTTACACATTGCAAAAAACCCGGTATTTCATGAGAAGATAAAGCACATCGAAATTGATTGTCACTTTATCCGTGACCACTTACTAGTTAAAAGGATCATTACAGCTCACATTCCAACCGCTCAACAGCCTGCCAATGCTTTCACCAAAGCTCCAAAGCTCTAGGTCGAGACAGACTACAGTCTTTACTCCAAGTTGGGCATTGTTTCCCACGCTCCAACTTGAAGGGGGGTATTAGAAGAAGCAATTCTTCACGTATGTATATTGGGAGAAACAATTCTCCACGTGGGATTTAGTTGGTTAGGCGGTTACTCTATTTGTTGAATCACTTACAGCTGGCATAAGCAAATTGCCATGTATCTATAAATTCTGATCGAATGAAAAACATTATCATTCTTTTTGCACTGACAGGATTTAGAGCAGTCATGTTGACTGTGGACAAGCTCAACACCAGATTGAAAGCTGTCTTCCAAATATTAAAGAGTACAAAAAGTCCCTAGAACAAGTAGGAATCAAGTTCTCCAAAACTGAAGACGGAAAAAATACAAAGTCCCTATGAATGATATGCAGACTCCATAGAACATCCTCAAAGTTCATGAGCTACTAGCACGTCCCATATCGTTGTACAAACAGTTTTAGTGGTTCTACTGAATCCTATAAATTGTAAGGACATAACAGACTGAACTTTTCATTAGCTCAGTTTGGAAGGAGTACAAATACAAATATGTAGAGTGTAAATACATACAAAATAATACAAAAAAGAAAGTGCAGCGTCCCGAACAACTAAAGCTAAGTCGGACGAAATAACTCACAGCTCTAATGAAAGGAGCAGCCGGTATCAGAAGCGTCCAAGTCTTCTGATAATGTCGAATCTCCCGGAGTGCCACAGTCCCTGGCCTATATCGATGGGGCTTGCGCTGCTGCTGCTGCCTTGTCGAGCCTGAATCATAAGTTGTAAAAAGAAAATAAGACACGACAGTACAATTCAAAAGAAATATCAACTGGAAAGAAAAATAAAGTTGGAAACAGTACACACATGCTAAAAGATGCTACGAGAACTCACTTTCCGGTGATGTATCAGCTCCTTGCTTTCGGGCATCTTCCGCGGGTGCCTGTACTTTTTCCCCCAACGAGTGCAAAATCACAAACCACTTCTCTGAGATGAGAAGAAAAATACGGACAGTAAAACCAGATAGAAATGTACCGAACTTGCCGGCGATACCGGGCTAACTGCTGCAGCTGCGATTTAAAGTTTGGGAGGAACAAAATCCAATGAATTAGGATTTCATGTAGGAAACGGAATATTTTGGAGAAGAGAAATAACCATAAACACAGAGAGATAGAAACTCAACCAGAAGATGGCCGGGATTGCCGTGGCGACCGCCGTACTTTCTTACTAGCTAGATGTTTGGTCCTCGCCATTATAAATATAATGAAAAGCGAGATAAAGAGCGAGAGCGAGAGACGGAGTTGATTCAGATGATTTCAAACTGAACTCAGATAAATCATTTCCCGCTTGATTTCGGATGATTCCAACGAGTACTGAGTAGTGAGTAGATAATTCACATCTGCCACGGTCACAGCACCCCCTTACTATCTACCAATTAAATACAGACACGCAGTGTTGGAAATTAAAAATTGACTTAAGCATACCTTGAAATTTTTCACCTTTTCGACCGTTAATGACTTTTCTACCCTTCATTGTTATTAAAATTTTGAAAAGAGCAGAAAAATCGAAACCTTCTTCTCGGGTTGAACTCATTAATTAATAGATTGAGAAAGACAGGAAGTTATCCACACCGCATCGTCCACGTTTAGAGTCGAACTTCGTTTCGAATCAAAAAATGACACATCGAAGTCATCAGATGCAACCCATTGTCAACCGAGTCTACGTCTACCTAGAGGTGTAAAACGGGCGGGCCGGACTGGTCCGTGGGGCAGGCCGAGTTGTAGATCAGGCCAAAATTATTTATTTAAAAAAATGAAAAAGAAAAACTTAAAATTTTAATTTTATATGAATTTTGATGTATACAATTACTCATATATATAATAATTAAATAAATTATTATAATAAAATTGAAAATAATTATTTTTTTATTAATATATTATATACTATATATTATTATATAATTATAATTTATATAATATTATATATAAATAATATATATATGAGTGGTGTCGTAGGCTAGGCCGGGTCGGCTCACACAGATCACAGGCCATGAACCTAAAACCCCAAGCTCAGCACGGCCCATACAATAGTGTTGAGCCTAGCACAGCCCACGAACCATCATACCAAGCCGATCCAAATTCATGTCAGAGCGGCACAGCCCGATTTATACCTCTAAGTCTACCATGTCTAAAACGAGAATGATGAAAAAATTTTTGTGCATTCATTTGATAAGTAGGATGTATTTATGTTTGTGCTGTAATTTTTTTGGCTTTTTTGTGTAACAGCCTAACTTAAATAACGCGTGATATTTTCTTGTCTAAGACTCCCCTCAAGGTAGAGCATGGGGTAGAATGCCCAACTTGGAGTACAAAAGTTGCAATCCGTCTCATCCAAGAGATTGGCTTGTCAGTCGAAAGAATGTAAGCAGTGACGATTTGTTTAGCAAGTAGATGATCACGGACAAAATGGCAATCGATTTGAATATGTTTCTTTCATTCATGAAACATTGGATTAGCTAATATGTGTAATGCAGTTTTGTTGTCGCAGATAGAAGAGTTGCATGGGCTGGGTGTTGGAGTTCCAAATCAGTGAAAAGTTTCTTGAGCCATATGAAACATTGGATTAGCTGCTATAGTTGATTGTTGACTAGTGGGACAACCATCCCAATTAGAATCACAATATACCTGTAAAACTAAGGCCTTGTTTGGCAACATTCTTTGAAAGCGTTTCTATTGTTCCCATCATTCTCGTGAAACAAAAACCCATTTGGCAAAAAAACGAAATAAACGAACCATTCTCACATGAGAACAGCACCCAAAAAACACATTCTTTGGGAGTGATAAATTGATGCTCTCAAAGAACACGTTTTTTGGGAAAGCGCAATTCCCATAACATCCATGTCTAATAACGAACACATGTGAAATGTTCTCACATGAAAGAAGGGGTGCTATTGCCATTTCATGCAAAAATATAAACTCAAGCCCTATATAGCAGTCCTCATTCGTTCAACCTCACTACCACTATACAACCCAAAAGAGAGTTGAACTCCTGCTACGTCAAGAATTGAACAGCTATCAATTGGAACACATCTCTGGTGAGGCAGCAAAAGGGGTCATTGAAGCTAAGTCGGAGAGGCTGCTTGAGAACGAGCAGCAAGTCAACAGTAGTCATTGAGTCTCAATTGTCGGCCATCATTGGTTTCATAAGTTCAGCAGCCATTGAGTATCGATTGTTAGCCATCAACAAGTCACAAAAGGTCATCAGCAACCATTGTCGTCATTCAACCCATCATAAAGATCTGATCTTGATTTCCTCCACCTCAAAGAGTTGCTACACATGGGGATGATTTCAACCCGCTATCAGGAATGGAGGTCATTACCACCCAGAATTTGTCGCCGTTGAAAGACAATCCTTGGCACTCATCCCTCTCCACCGATGTAGAACGTTCTTCTAGATGTCATGTCCTCCTGCTATTTGACACGTTTTTTTTTTTTTTTTGCATTAATTTTAGGCTTAATGCAGATGGATTTGTATAACTGATGTTAAGAAATAGTTTCATTATCCAAATGTGGTTTCTGTTTATGTAGAACAAAAATTCATTCTCAAAGAACAATTTGTCAAACACATTTACTATTCTCGAAGAACAAGAAATAAAATCTTTGTTTTAGTACAAGAATTTCTAAAAGAATAGAAACATGTGGGAACAGGCCCTAAATTGCTCTTGGAAGAAAGAAGAATTCCTTATTCAGGAGAGGCTTTTAAATACCTGAGAACATGCATGGCTGCATCTAAATGAGACTGACAAGGACTGCTCATGAACTGACTTAAAATGTATATAAAGTAGGTCAATTCAGGCCTAGTGATGGTGAGATATTTTAATCGACCCACTAATCTCCTATATTGATCCGAATGAGCTGCTAGAGGTCCAGACTTCAGCAAGAGATGTTGTTGTAGCATAGGAATGAGCTTAGCTCGCAGTCAAGCATGCCAACATCTGTGAAAATGTCAAGAATGTACTTTCTTTGGCAAAGAAAAATTCCAACTGAAGAACAAGATACCTCAATACCCAAAAAAAATACTGTAATGACTCAAGATCCTTAATGGGAAAGCAAGAACGGAAGTAACCTTTGAGGGCACTTAAGTGTGTTTCATCATTACCAACAATGATTAAATCATCAACATATGCTAAAATCACAAGGAAACAACCTGGTTGCGTAAGGGTGAATAGGGTATTGTTAGCTGCTGATTGAGATAAGCCCCGGTTCTTAAGAGCATTGGCTAAAGTATTGAATCAATTACATTATAGATAGATTTGTTGAGATGACACACTTGTCGATCACTAGGATCTAGAAGACCTGGATGTGGAAGCATATAGACTTTTTCTTGTAAGTTGCCATGTAAAAATACATTATTGACATCTATTGATGAAGATGCCAATTTTTCGTTGTTGCAAGTGCAAATAAGCATTGTACTTTGATGAATTTAGAATAGGAGCAAAGGGTTTTGGTGTAATCCACCCCTTTTAATTAAGTGTTGCCCTTGGCGACCAATCGAGCTGTGAATCTTTCATTGGAATAATTGGGGTTCAAGTTAGTCTTATAGACCCATTTGCAGCCAATGGATTGTTTCCATGGAGGTAAATTAACAAGTGTCCAAGTACTGGTTGCTTCAAGAGTTGATAGTTCCTCACTCATAGCTTGGCGCCAACTTTGGTGCTTATTGGCTTAAGCAAAAGAATTAGGTTCTGTGGGAATACTGGCTATGACTGAATGTGCTTGGGTAAGGTAATTGGTTATGGGATGTCAAACTTGAGAATGAGTTTGTGAGTGTAATGTTGGACAGTCATAATCTATTAACTGGGAAGGGGACTTACAAGTGTGGGTGGGTCTAGATGGGCCTAATTGTGTAGGGGCCACTTGCATAGGTTGGTTAGGTGAGGTAATGGGCCTAGGTTCTAAGTCAGATAAGGCTGATCCCATGTTATTAGGATCTATATTAGTAATGTTGGACTACTAGGGAGCAAAATGGAAATCTGGGTTGTTAATGGTTGGTAAGGGTTGGACAAATGGACCAAGAACATCTAAAGCAGGTAGGGGAATAACTGGCCCACTATCTTGATCTGTGTTTTTGTCATCTTGAAACAAAGATAGTGATTGTATCCAAGTTGTACAATTTATACCCCTTTTGACCATGGGGTATCCAATGAACACAGCGGTTAGAGTGCGAGGCAAATTTATCACGACTCCATTGAGTTGTACGAACATAGCAAAGACACCCAAAGACCTTGAAATGGTCGTATGAGGGTTTCTTTCCAAAGAGAACTTCATACGGAATTTGTCCAAAAAGTACCCGTGTGTGCAGATAATTGATAATATATGCAACAGTTAAGACACATTCACCCCAAAATTTTATGGGTAGAACCAAAGGGCCCTTGCAATTTCTAGCAAGTGGTGATGTTTGCGCTCCAAAACCCCATTGATGTGTGATGTCAACGCAAGAACATTGATGTGTGATGCCATGATCAGACCAGTACTGATGCAGAGGTCTATAGACAAACTCAGATCCGTTATTAGAACAAATAACTTTCACTTGAGCTCCAAATTGAGTGTTCCCCATTGTATAAAACATAATAAAGAAAATGCCCACATTTGATTTACACTTCACAAGTAAACCCATGTAGTTCTTGTAAAGTCATCCACAAATGTGAAAAAATAATGTACACTTATAGTGGATGGTGTTTGATACTGATGTAACCGATTCTGGTCATGTACCAATTTTTTTTTTCGTGATATATCAATTTTTGGCTAAGAACTTCGTCATTTGACCTACTCCCAAGTGGCCTGTGACTCAGAGGATGATGGAGCTCCCTGGTGGTGAACTGCCTGGTGGTGAACTACTTGGTGACGAACTTCCTAATGGTGAGCTACTTGGTGACGAGCTCCCTGGTGGTGAGCTACTTGGTGACGAACTCCCAGGTGGTGAGCTACCTTGATGAGTTGTTGGGTGTGCTACCTTAGTGGCAAGCCTCCTAGTGTAGTGCAACCCAACTGCCCTCTGCATGAGATGATCTGGTCCTCTTTGTAGACAGCGGGAGCCGATGAACCTGCGAGAACTGAATCAGAGGACCTGGGGGTGTTTACACGGTAGGGCCACTCCGATGCTTAAGTTAGCACTCTGATAGTAGAGAGCTTGAAGATGATATTAGAGAAATGAGAGAGCTAGAGAGCAGGGGTTACCTCCATTTTTCATCCCCCTCCCCTCTGGGGGGTCGGAGCTCTTATATAGCGGTGTTTTGAC